CAAGGCTATAGGCAAAATAAGTATTAGCATCAGCCAACACCTTTTTCAATCTTTCTGCTGTAAAGTTACTCTATAATGATGTGTATAAATTTGCAAGTGACATAAATTAAATATTATTTGACCAGTGAAAGCGGGAGCTGTGTTGATTCCACTTTTACTGAATTCTTGTAATCATGCAAAGCTAACAAAGATACATACACGCCTTTGGGATTAGCAACCAAGCAGTGCAATGCTTTTGTATACACCTCTGAATCCACGATGGTCTATTGATGTTCTGTTTACTTACACAGGGAGAAAACTCAAATAATAAGAACCAACAAATGCAGATGATTTACTCAATGCTATGCTAACATCGAATTAAATCTCACTTCCAAATAACAGATCAGACATCTTCAGTCAGGCCTGGGAAAGACTTCCAGAAATCAGGAGTGATGTTGAAATTCAGATGGCATCTTGCCCCGTCTGTCGATTTGATGTATGCTTCAGAAGGTGGACCAAAACAACCAAACCATGAGCCAAGAATTCCAACAGCGAGAAAAGCCACGGACCTTGGTAAGACTGCTTTATACACAGACACCCCAGGCATCAAACAAACGCAGAAACATGAACCACTGTGCATGTAAGTTGCCCTCATTAGTTATTACCACAATGAAACACGTAAAACGATATTGCATATGTTGAAATGAAACTTTTTTTCAGCATTTTTTCCTGTAAAGGGAGCATTGATACTGTAAACTACATCAAGGTGAATCTCTCACACAAACATACACACACAATAGGGAAGTAATACGCTGCATATTATTGCTCGAAACTGGTGGGTTTTTTTCTTAATTTGAGTACATTTTGATAACGCTATTTAGTCTTATTTCAAGTACTGTTGCATTATTTTCTCATTCCAACTTTTGAAAAACAAGACTTAGACAAGACAACTTATCCCATTGGCAAATCTTGTTTTAAGGCAGTCAAAATGTGCTCAAATTAAGATAAAATTACTTTACCAAAATTAAGCAATTTGACTTCATCACTTTTTGTAGTGAAAGCAGTAATGATGAATGCAATGGCAATAAGCAAAGAGGAAACATATCACACATTGTACAAGTTGCTTTCAAGTTAAATAAACAATTACTGGCCTCTTGCTGGTGCCCAGAGGCAGGACTAAATATGGGGAGGCAGTGTTTCAAAAGAATGCAGCAAAATCCTGGAAAAGTCTTCCTGAAAATGTGAGACCGGCGTCTGTTTAGCTGTGCATAAGACTGAAGGACTGTGATTGTTTATGACTTCAAAGCCTTGTCTGATTTTAATGTCTTTTACTTGTTCTGTTAAGCACATGCCTTCTGTATGAATTGTGCCATAAAAATAAAACATACCATGTCTTGTAAAAGTCCAAATAAATGTGAACAAATGAAGCCCCAAAATGATCTCTTTGCCTTATTAGAAAACATGTGATATGTTGCAAACTTGTCAGAAAGGGCCGTGTGAGTCACTATTTGATGCATAGGGCTGAGAGTTGATCTTTGTGGTTTGAAATCTTTAATAAGTGAACCTTCAAAAACCTGAGCGTTACAACAAGTAATCAGTAGAAATGCAAGGACCACCCTGAACTTTTAAACTCAACGTGCTATTCGTGCTGTGGTCACAAGATCAGGCCCAGAGCAACCACAGGATGTTTTCTGTCCTTATGAGCACATGATCCATGCTTTGTGACTAAATTAGTAAGTTAGTCTTCTCGAGTGGTGCTCAAAGACTGAGAAACTTTCAGGGCTCCAACTTTTTCTGGTTTAAGATCACATTTTCGACAAAACTTTGACGCCTAAAGGATTAAAATGTGTATTAAACTTGCACTGTATAAGTTTTCTGGTATTAAACTTGCACTGTGTAAGTTGTTTAGTATTAAACTTATACTAGGGCAGGGACTCAAAAACTGCTTGTAATATCTCCCTGGGTATAAAAAAAAATAGTTATAGCCACTATTGTTTTGTCCACGCAGTCGTGCGTCCACAGTCCCTGTGCGTACGAATAAAAACAATGGTCTGACCAGTTCTAAAAAACGAGTTATTTATCTAAGCATGACGGTCTGTGATGATATTCGAATAATAAGGGCTGTCTTAAGCCTAGTTCACACGCGACAATTTTAAAAATGTCCCTTGATAAAAAATCAAGGGTCTAACCACTTTGGTCTTACAGTGTGTGGTGCGCAGCCACACGGCAAAATCACACAAACCACACGGCAAAATACCACAAACCACACACGAACCGATTTCACCTACGAGCATTCCCAGGCCAGATGGAAATCTCACAAAATCTCTCGAGATCAAGCGTGACTTAAGAGTAAACAATCATGGCGGATGTAGAGGATGCAGTGGCGATAGTTTCCAGTTTGTTTTCAGCAGAGAAAAGACGTAATCAAAAGAAAAGGCGATGGTCAAAGAAGGGTAGACAACGCGAGCATGGACTATACTTTCTACATCGTGATATGGAGGTGAGTTGTTTTTTTACGGCGTTTCCTCGTCGCCTCGTCTCGTCTTCTGATTGGCTACATGTCGCAGTCATGGCAACGCGCTCGTCTGTCCCCCGGGGGACACCAAACACGAAGAGAAATCGGGCCAAAACCATCCAACATGTTGGATATCCCCGATTTTGAGATCGGAGCAGTTCCGAAGTCCTTCAGAGCGACGAGCACAGTCTTAGGACACCACACACGGCAGGAAAATCCATCAGATTTTTTTACGATAATTGGAGCGTTCTTAAAGATTGTCGTAGGGGTAAATCGGGTCCAAAATCGGACTAATTATCCTCAGAATCAGATTCAGATTCATTTATTTGCCATTTGCAGTAAAACCACATTGGAAAAACTGTGCAAGACTACCCCAGTGCGCGCCAGACGACACACACCAGAGCTCTTGCCACGGCGCCATCTTTACGCGTGAACCAGGCTTAATCTTCGTTCCAATGTCATTATTTTTTTTACTATCCAAATTATGTTCGAATATCGAATTTTGTTTTCCCAGCCCTAACTTGGCCCTGTTTAGACGGAGACGCTGCGACAGTAGAATGTTAGAGTTGGGTATCGATTTGGCCTCCTATTTACATGGAGAAAGTGTTTCAGGGGGGTGAAAACACAAGCATTGAGAAACAGCCTCCAGAGAGGAACAAAACCGATATGCTGCTCAGCGGGAGGCTGTATCACAGCCCCATGAAGTAAAAGATGTGAATACTTGCCTGCTATGACCACTACTTCCTTGCACACACATTTGGACATGCGCGATAGCCGAGAACAAACGCAAAGAACAATGGTGGCGAGTACATTAACTAGCTATGTGTGCTTCGAGTGTTACATGGAGGGGAATTCTACTCCTTTATCTGTCCAAACGAAACCACGCAAAGCTCTGGTTTAAAGACCTTATGACGGGTTTTAAAAAAAAAAAATAGTGGATATCAAAATTGCATGACAATGTCAATTTGAAAGATTCCGGCAAAAAAAATCCTATATTTTATAAAAAGAAAGTGTTTTTCATGAATTTAAGTTGTCTATGCTCTAACCTGTGTGTGACGTCATAGCGGGTTACGCCCATGCATTGAAAACCATGGATCTATGCCACAGGACTGCCTTTTCTCTCTTCTCTCCACTGATGCCCAACACAATACTGCCCTCTACAGGTGACAATTGCTCACTACACATAAATTGCCGTTTTGAGTGTGAAAATGTGTCTGAGCTGGGATTTGAACCCAAGTATCTGGATTGGCAGTCCATCAACACAACCACTGGACTATCTCAGTGACAAAGACATGTTACATTCTAGTAGTTATCTCATACTCGCTGTACACGGCCTTGTCATCTTGAATATCCGCGAAAAAAGAACAAATACCAAATTGTAAACAACTTACAGCGTTGAAACGTACCCGTTCTGACGTCACCAAGGGCTGTGAAGTTTTTTCGTTTCTAAGGGCGTTGCTATGGGGTTATTTTGATTTGGGGGGATCAGACAAAAAAAAACAACTGATTTTGAAACCTTTAGTAGTTCTCTTCTAATATAAAATGGTATTAAAACTGTATTTCTGAATAAATCAAACCCGTCATAAGGTCTTTAAGTTTACATTTTCGCAGCTACTGTTAAAGGCAGAATCACACTTCAGTAAATCCAAATTGCACTTAACCTAAGCCTAAAGTGCAGAACACTCCAGTATGTGAGTTTGCTTGTAGAGGGTTCTTCACTGTGCTTGCAATGGGATTACCAGGTGTTCCATAGTATGTTATAGCATACCTCGCATTTATTAAATCTATTGCGGGAAAACAAAACATATTTTATGTTCAACACAGCAATACCTGTTGCTTTTTGTCAAATTGTCTAGGAAAAGACAAAACAAATACAGATTTTTTTTTCTTCCTTTAATTGAATTAAAAGGAAACAAAGAGGTTTATCTGTATGACTTGACACAATATAAGTCTGTCAAGCATACATCAACACTAGGGGTGGGAACCTAAGGGTACCTCACGATATGATATGATACACGATACAAAGCTCACGATAACGATATTATCATGATAACGATATCACAATAACGATTTTATCACAATATGACGATTTTATCACGATATGACGATTATCGATATATTGGTCAGAAATATACAATATGCCAATTTATGGCATAAATAAAAGAAAAAATACACTTTATTTCATGATAAATGGAATGGAGATGCGTAATGTAGCCATATATTAAGTATTGATACACATTTATTTATTTTTATTGTAAAAAAAAAATGTTTTTTTAGTTTTTTTCAAAATTGATATTGATACTTGGCAAATGCATATTGATAATCGAATCGTGGGAGAAAGTATATATATTAAAAAAAATCTATATATTGTCACACCCCTAATCAACACAGGGGGACAAAGTTTAGACATTGATTGAGCCTGTGGTCATGTGCATGGAAGATTTCTTATGACGGATTTTGAATTCAGTGTTCTTTATTTGATGTAAAAGAAAAACAATCACCTCACCTTCACTTGTGTATTAGAGTGGAATGTTGAGGGTTCAGGTTCCTGGAACACAACAAAAAGTCATTGCTGAGGCGACAGTGGCTCAGTTGGTAGAGCATTGGCCTTTAAGCCTGAAGGCCCACCACAGGACCTTCTTCACTGACTGACTCCCACTGATGTGTGCTGCCGTTGCGCACTTAACCTCTGGGAACACCAGCCACAGTGGGGTGGCTGCGACTGTAAAGAACCAAACTGCCGTCATGTCCTTAGGCAAGACACTTCACCCTCAGTGCCTAGAATGAGCCTAGTGTGTGTGTGTGAATGGTTGGTGGTGGCACATACTGGTTGTCTCGCTTCTGTCAGTGTGCCCCAGGGCAGCTGTGGCTACAGTAGTAGTTTATCACCACCGTGTCTGGAGTGAAAAAATAATGACATGTAAAGCGTCTTTGAGTGTCCAAAAAAGCGCTTTATAAAACCGGTGCATTATTATTGCAAAAATTCCAAAAGAAAGGATTCTGTCGGTTTTCAGCTAAGAAAAATCTTGGATAACAAAGCCAATTACAGCAGCCGATGCAGGTGTTTCAGCAATCAAGGTGTATGTAAATTATAAATACGTCTGAATATCATAGCAAAAAGTGATCATATAATTAATAATAATAATATTACAAATTAAGTATTTCCTTGACAATAACGGGTGGCATTCAGGACACTCTACATTCAACACATTTATGGACATTAGTCATCTGCCGCTTATGGATCAATGGCTTTGTGTTTTTTATCAATGAATTTCTTGTGTTTTAACTCTCTGATCTGTGCTGGCGATTCGACGGCTTAGTAAAGTCCTCCGATTCATAAGAATCTCGGCGGCACGGTGGCTGAGTGGATAGCACTCTCGCCTCCCAGCAAGAAGGTCCTGGGTTCAAATCCTCAGTCAGAACAGGGCCTTTCTGAGTGGAGTCTGCATGTTCTCCCCGTGTCTGCGTAGGTTTCCTCCGAGTACTCCGGTTTCTCCTACCACTAAAAACATTCACAATTGGTCTGGCATGCGCCTCCTGTACTGGCGACCCCGCTCCCATCTCTGTGTGTGGACAAATGCCCAAAAAATAACAATGATAAACCGCTTTGTGTACTGTGAAAGGCAGTATACAAAATAAAGATTACTACTACTACATTCTTTATTATAATGTGTCAAATTGTGTCTATGTAAACACGTTGGGGTTGCATGACAATATCCCAGTTGCTCATCACTGCTCTACTCTACTATATACAGCCTTAATAAAATCCAAAAGAGACTATTCAATAACTTCTCCACACTAGAAGTCACATTTACAAACCACCACTGGTAAATTCCCCCTCTCCAAACCCAGCTCACAGACAGCCAGTTGTTCAGGTTTTTAACTCCATCCCTATCACATTGTTTACTTTTAGAAAGTTGCATTTCAAGACTTCAACACCAACTTTTGACTGCAGGGGATAAAGTCTAATGTTGTAATTGCGCGGGAGACGTCTATTTGTGGTTTTGTGGTGTCCTATATTCCGTTTAGATCCAGGTAAAGGCGTTGGGGGGGTGGGGGCGCTGTCTCCAGGGCCCACACACATGTATCTGCTGCTTTTGTTCTGATAAATTGACAGCCACATTGCCACACTGCCATAGACTGTGTTATCCTATAGGGAACAGTGGTGGGAACGCACACGCCGCACACGATTGGCGTCACTCAATGTCACTAGTCTTGTTTATTCTCTTTTTGAAGGGAAGGGGGATCTATTTTTCTAAATCTGAACTTCTGAATTGAGGAAGCAGGAAGGAAGAGGAATTAATACACCTACACTGTCTGCTCCCCTTAGAGCAGTGCATCTCTTTGTACTCACAGTGTAATTATTGGTGGGCGCCAGTTTAGAATTCTTATCCAGGACTCACGTTTGTTTGTTTTTTATCCCCCGCCAAGTTTTCTACAACATTTTGAAAGTGTGTACTTTACTTGAGTTTACCTACTGAAGGTAAATACAAACCTTTTGAAATAGCGGGAAAGCAGCGCATTTATCATGGGGGTCACAGGCTATAAACTTTGGGCACCCCTGTATTAGGCAATACAGTTTATATACAAAATATCCATTTTCCTGTATTACAAGTAATAAGAAAAGGTCAAGGCCTTACTTATTTTCCAATGAGGAGCGTAGCAAGTTTTGAGTCAGAAGGAAATTCTTTCATTAGCCTTAAATTGTCATCCCAATAGAAATCCTAATTTCAATACTACTAATTTTGTCAATAGTGACCTAAGATTCTTAACAAGACCTTTTTTTTAGTACTGCAGCCCTTATGTTCCAACTTTTGTCTTTTATCTATTTATTATTATTATTATTATTATTATAGTTTACTTTACTAATACCCGAAATATGCATATTTCATTATCCAAAAGGACCTCTACAACAAACAATGGCTTTATATTATTATTATTATTATTATTACTATTATTAATAATAATAATACATTTTGTTTAAAGCGCCTTTCAAGGACACTGAACAAACATTTATTATCTGCAGCTGATTAGTGAGTCATGTTGGCAAGCTTAGTAGTGCATTGCAATTTGATACAGGGTCAAGAATAGACTTTAATTTATTGAATTGGGAGAAAAATGCCTGACTTTCATTATAATTCTCCAGTATGCCCACAGTCATGAGTGTTTTATAAATATCTGTATTTGACATTGGAAATTGATCAATACAGACGTTGAGCTTTGCGGAAACACCACGTATACAATATGGAGCCTGATGTTTCTATACATTTCAAGTGGCATTCGTCAGTTATCACAAACAAGTAATGAGTCTTTCAAATATAATTGAAGTTATAAAGCAATTTTCAACATATGCAGATGAAACCTAAATAGTAGGGGTGGGAATCTTGGGACACCTCTCAATGAGATTACAATTAGGATTCAGAGGCTGCAATTATTATTTCTCAAGTATCAGTTAAATTAATTTCCATTATATTTTATTACCTCCATAAAATAAATCCATTTGATTGGAAATGCATGAACATTTGAACTCGTGTGTGCTGCTCAAGCTGCTTTTGTTGCCTTTATTTATTAACATTGTAAAGCGCTTTAGGTGACCTTGGTCTGTAAAATGCGCTATATAAATAAACCTTACTTACTTATTTTACTTAGTGTTTCATATGTTATTTACAAATAATGCAAGGCTTAAATGAACAACTACTTAAATACAAACAGCTCCAAACTATAATTCTGCGATTGCTTTCGTAATTCACTTGGCCTTTTGCAATGTGGGTGGCATCTCACGGCGAGGTGGCTTGGCTAGCTCAGCCATGCTTGCTATTGTTTTGTTTTTTTCTGGAGGAGTGTGCTGTGGATGCATGCTCTCAGTTCGTTCCCTATAGCGTTTCGAGGATTCCAATTATTTGCAGTAAAACCACATTGGTGGTAGGTCAAAATTCTGTATCCTCTCCCACCCAATGAGTCCTCCAGAGTAGGTTTATCGTGTTTATTTTTTTCAAATAATTATTCCACATTGTACAAATATCAATTACCCAAATATAAATTGTAAATGGAACTGGGCTATCACTAGTATGCTCCCATTGACCGGGCTAAGACCGAGCTTACTGTATTTCAGTTCCACTTCAAAAAATCTGAATTTGGATGTTTGTGAATTGTTGATGATTCTTTCACAGCCGCATCGCAATTATTCTAAGAATCGGAAATTTCCCTCTCCTCTACTAAATAGTGGCATATATTCCTTTTTATTACTACAAATTCTGAATTCAGATTCAGATTGATTGAATAATAATACAAAGAACACACAAGCACTACTTTTACATTTGTAATAAGAATAAAAGAGCGTCCCCCCCCCCAACGTCTTTAATATGCTTCCCTTCTATCACTTTGCATAAGTGGCTTTAGTAGCAAATGTTTATTCTTGACACAAGATTATTTCACAAAATGGTTGGTCTCAGCCAGGCTGGGAACACCTTGGGGTCGCCCCGGATGAGCTGGAGGAAGTGTTTGTGGATAGGGAAGTCTGAGCGTCTCTGCTTAGACTGCTGCCCCCGCGACTCGGCCACGGATGAAGCAGAATAAAATAGATGGATTGTTGGTCCAATGCAACAGCTTGACTGCTTCCTTTTGTAATGTCAATACATGAAATATCAATTGAGATGTTTAGGTTTACATTCATTTGAAGCGAGTTTGAGAACCACTACTCGAAAATTAATTGTTTTGTTTTTTGCCCCTGGGCTTTAAAAATACTGTGTATTTTTGGCTGCAGCATTTTACCAAAGTCCAAAGGGAGTCCTTTCTATTTTGCTGATGCTTTCCAAGTGCACCCATGGACAGGTAAGATTGGAGCACCAGGTATATGGCCTCAAAAGGAAAAGCAATGAAAAATACATATCCCTCAATACACCTCTGTACACCTTTCACTCCCCTTTATGGACTATTTATAAGCCTCTTTTACAGTGGAGTGGAGGCATGCAAAGGCTAAATTAGTGCCGGTTACTTTTTCTGAGAGTACCGGGGGATAGCTTCCATGAAGCCATCTGAGGGCACAAAGTCTGGAGATACAGGCAGGAATAACGGTGTGCTCTCAAAAACATACATTTCAGTGAGATAGCACAGCATACATCTATCTATTAAGACAAGAAGCTTCTGGGTTTGTGGCTCGCATATCCAGGGCATAAACCCCTCAATTAAAAGCTCAAATATCTCATGTAGGGGTGGGCGATACGTATAGCCTAAAATTCATATTGCGGTATGATTTGGGACACAGACGGTAAACGATATATATTGCGGTATAATTTGGTGAGTGAATTTCAATATAGGTCTAGCGGGTTCTTGCATAAAATAGTTAAGATTGTTACTTATTTATATATTAGAATCTATTATATATATTTTTTTTAGTTCGAAAATCAGGTGTGAGACAAATGAAGAGACAAATGTTGTAACATACATTATTTATTGTTACAGTAAATTTACTGTCCAATTTTTAAAAAGAAAAACATATTTATTCATTTAAAATATAAAAAAACTCACAGATGTCGAAATCAAAGTCTG